TATTATCTTAAAGATTCAATACGAATTGCATATTTTAATGCATCTTCGAATTATTAAATTATTTATGCGATTACTAATTAGATATAAACAGAAGCCACTGAATGAAATATTAGTTTAACATTTAACTGAAGATCTACAATTCTATTTAGCTACAAAAAATTAATGTTTTAACACGAACGTTATCTTTACGGACAGTTAATTCTTGACCAATCTTTATCAGTATTGTTTGCAGTATTCCAGGAAAGCTCTGTAAAGATTGTCGGCACGGAAGTGTTATCGGCTCGGCATCGTCGACGCAATGCCACGAAGTACCGAGAAACAAGCAACGTCATTTTTTTTTTTAATTGACGTCACTGACATTTCGGGACGAAACGCGAGGTTGGAAAGTCGTTAAAAACGGAGGAAGTGACAAAGGATGAACGGGTTTAGTGGACAGATCGATACGGTAACCGTCGTGGTCACCGCTAATGACTGCGAACCCTGAAACCCCTTAACCGATGCCGCTTGCGATTAGGCGCACGCGAACCGCCACATATTCTTGACACGATAACCACTCTGGTCTCCTTTCCTCTTTCTCTTCCACTCACTCGTTCGTTCGCTCGCTCGCTCGTTCAGACTCAGCTCGACTGTGTGCCCGATTTTGCGTGGGTCAGTCCGATCGATCGAGGCTGACCACTTCGATGAAAATATCCCGCGAAACAGTTGAACCGGTGTCTCGACCCGATTACTCGATTAAAACGATAATAAAAACAAAGTGAAGTATACCAATCAAATGACGAAAACACGGAAAAAACGATGTTGCTGAAATATCTAAAAATTGAGTTAGACATAGATCAGAAAATAATTTTGAACCATCTATTTCTAAAATCTATAAAATAGAATTTAATTCTAAAGAGCAAAATCTTACTCTTAAAAATAATTAAGTCACTCTTTTTTAAACATTGGCTCAATTATTACTCTTTAGCATTAAATTCCATTCTAAAAATTTAAAAAAAATAATTGTTGGTAATTCAAGTATAATGAACAATATTAAAAAAAAATTTGATACTCTAGCTTGAGCTAAAATTATTTTAATAATTTAACAAAAAAAAATTTCAGATTTGTATCTACCTAAATTTGTAGATATTTCAGCGAAATTATTCTTTTCGTGTTACGAATCAATGCGATCTGTATGTTATATCATCATCAATTATTATTAATTTTCGCGAATATCTCTTTCTGCGAGAAACTAATAAAATCTAGATGCGTAAAATGAGTTTGTAAAATTCTCGTAATGATAAGATCATTTTTTGCAATTTTACATTACGAGAATTTTGCAAATTCATTTTACGGATTTAGAGTTTATTTTGTTTCTTGCGAAAAGAAATATTATCTCTTAAAATATAATTCAGGATATTTTTAGGCACTTTACTTTTAATTTTTTATTTGCTCGTACTTACGCCAGTCTAGAAAGCGATGAGTTTCGCTCGACAGGACTCAAAGGTTTCCGCCTCATACAAACACTTAATTATTTACAAGACAAGGCATTTCTGTTAGTGATTTATCGACGGAAAAATACTTATTGATCGCTCGCTTAGTCTTTGACAAAATCTATAAAATTTATCAAGGCAAGCACGTTGTATTAGGAATCTGATTGTGAGTAATTTCAGTGACGTTGCCTAGCAAGGCTGAAATACATACGCAGAGAACGAATTAATC